CCGCACAGAAACCCCAAAATTTAAAGTGGGAAAAGAATGGAAAGAGGGAAAAATAGGTGATGAATAGTGATGTTTTGCCTGAAGCATCAGGAGAGAGTTACGGAGGTGGGCAGCAGATAAGGCAATGCATAAGTTGTGTATCTCAGATTGTTTTTCTGAATTCATAAATGGTGAGATGCCTCACCTTAACCCTTCATCCATCCTTGGTGGGATCGAAAGTCCTGCCATTCATGGGCATACATGTATTAAGTATACCTGTGATGTGCATAGGGCACTAATAAAATGACTGTAGGTAAAAATTCTGGCTGAACGTCCACACCACTGAACTGAGTTTGTGGTCATCTTGGGCAGTTTGATCGAGGTTTACCATGTTGGCTGTTTGTACAGAGCTGGTGCCGTACACAGAAAAAACACACATGTAGCCAGCAACTGACAAGTGGTGTGAAGGATCTCCATTTCCTGAGAAGAAAATATAGCAATATCTCTTCCTTGCATCATTTTATCTGGTATTTTCTTCTAGAAATAAGAACAGCCCTACGGGGCCAGACCAAAGGTCCATCTAATCCAATATTCTGTCTTCTGAAAATAGCCAATGCCAGGTATCCCAGAGAGAATGAACGGAATATGCAGTTGTCAAGTGAACCATCTCCTGTTGCCCATTCCCAGCTTCTGGCAAACAGAGGTTAGTGACATAGTGGCTATTAGCTAGGATAGGCAGTGACTAATAGACCTATCCTCTGTGAACTTACTGTCAAGGACTCTAGCCCAGACGGCTCGGTTCGTTGTCTGACTGCAAAGAGACAGGCAACACCAGCAAAGTCCAATCACAAGCTCTTTATTCAAGAGTGCACACAACAATAGAGAGCGGTCTGTCTCCAAAGAGAACCAGCAGCGATTTTAGTAACAGGTAGGCTTATAAAGACAGTTCCGTCACGTCATAAGCTCTTCACCCAAGCCACTTACCCCCCCTTTCTAGAAACTTTTAATATCTATGCATATCTTCGCCAACCATACATTGTGGGCAGAAGCGCTTCATAATGCATCAGCTACTGTCTTATCAATCACAAAAGGCAGGTACCAGGAACAAGGAGACAAGGGAGTTGAGCACAAAGGGCAAAAATAGGAAGGTAAGATTAGTGAAGGGGAACAGAAACAGGGAGTTACTTACCAGTTCCCAAAGCAAGCTATTCTACTTACAGTAGGTACAAATATGTAATTTATCACTTATCTAACTTTTATAACCTAAGTCAGCATGGAGGGTGCACCTCTGTTTGAACCACATTCCTGGTTCTGGTCAAGAATACTCCGAGGCCTATGAAATTAGCCTTTGTTAACTTTCCTTAGCATAATGTTGACCAGGCCTTGTTTTTCTGGGCCCAACATTACCTAGTTCTTTTTTGAACCCTATTATAGCTGTGGCCTTCACAATGACCTCTGGCAAAGAGTTCCACAGGTTAACTGTACATTGTATGAAAAAATACTTCCTTTTGCTTGTTTTAAATCTCCTGCCTGTTAGGTTCATTTGATGACCCCAGTTGTTGTGTTATGAAAATAAGTAAATAACACTTCCTTAATAACTTTCTCCACACCTGTCATGATTTTGCAGACCTCAATCATATCCCCCCTTAGTCATTATCTTTTTCAAGCTAAAGAGTCCCAGTCTTATTAATCTCTCCTCGTACAGAAGCCATTCCATACCCCCAATCATTTTTGTTGCCATTTTCTGAACCTTTTCCACTTCCAATGTATGTTTTTTTTGAGGTGAGGTGACTATATCTGCACACAGTATTCAAGGTGTTGGGTGTATCATGGGTTTCTATAGAGGCGATATGATAATTTCTATTTTCTTATTGCTCCCTTTCTTTGCTTAATAGCTTTTTGGTGAGGAATCTTGTCAAAGGCTTTCCGAAAATCTAAGTACATTGAATCCTCCTTGTCCACATGCTTCTTGTCACCCCTCAAAGAATTCTAGTAGATTGGTGAGGCACAATTGCCCTTTACAAAAAACATTTTGCCTCTTCTCCAGCAAATGATACTCATCTATATGTTTTCTGAGAGGAGAGTGTTGAAAATATCCCAAGGGCGGCAGGGTCCAAGAACTCTTCCTTCATAGGCAGGTAGAGAGATCAGTGAGGAATCCCAGCTTGTCACAATTGTGGGAGAACTTCAGTGGGTCAGGGCAGCACAGAACCAAAGGTCTTGACATGGGAAGCTGTGGTGGATTCCCCAAGATCCGTGGTGGTCTGAAACCCTGCCTGTTTTTACGGGGCATAAATTGCCCTGTATGGTCTTTTGCAAAAACATGTCTTGGGGGAACTCTGCAGTTTCCTGTCCCCTGTATGAGTTCTATGTAGACAACGAATTGGGTCCGTGGAGTACAACAACAAGAGACTGTCACTTGGTTGCCAGTTGACTTGAGGAAGTTAACCCCTTTGTAAAAGCTAATCTGGACACACTCCAAATATTTGTTCCAGAATGCAGATTATTTACCCAAAGAATAGTTTCAATTTGAAATGAAATTTTTAATTTTGAAGAAAAATCCAAGCAGCTTAAACTATATATGGAAATCTTCTACAACATGTTAACGTTTGAAAGGCCATTTTTCATCAACATTTTTTATAACAAAAATTTCAACTCTCTGTAGTGACAATACTCTGTCCTCCACCGGCATCTTCTACCCAAGAAGCTCAAAGTGCTTTACCAACTTCAATGGACTCTTTGGCTATGTCTACACTACAGAGAAAATTGAAGCAGTCGCAGTCGATCTTCCGGGGTTCAACTTAGCAAGTCTACTGAAGACATGTTAATTAGAACTGAGAGGGTGCTCCTGTTGATGCTGATAGTCCTGTTTCTATGAGGAGTAAGGGAAGTCAAAGGGAGAACGTGCTCCCTTTGACTTCCTTCAGGGTACGTCTAGACTACATGGTTCCGTTGACAGAGCCATGCAAAATAGTTTACTCGACATAGTCAAAGAAGAGGAGATTTAAATAATCCCCATTTCATTAAAATAAAAATGGCTGCCGCGCTGTGGCGACAATCAGCTGATCCGGCACAGCACGGCAATCTAGACATGGCGCGGTCAACAAAGGAAGCCTTTGTCGACCGCTCCGGTATGTCTCGTGATCAGCTGATCGTCAGCACAGCACGGCAGCCCTTTTTATTTTAATGAAGCAGGGATTATTTAAATCCCCGCTTCTTTGACTATGCCGAGTAAACTATTTTACATGGCTCCGTCGACGGAGCCATATAGTCTAAATGTACCCTCAGTGTAGACAGCAACAAAATTTGAGTTAAAATACTTCGACTTATGCAACTTCAGCTACATACATTGCATAGTTTCTTAATTCAAACTTATCCCCAAGTATAGACCAGGCCTTTGAAAGAGAGGTCTTATTTCTGCTGGTGCCATCTCTTAATAAAAACGGTCCCAGACTGAGATATGAGAACTTTCTTGCTCCCTACTAATGCTTCCGCATGTTATGTGATAGGTCCTACACTGCTATAGGTCCTACACTGCTATAGTTTATCAGAGATTTTTCTTTACTTCAAGGAATAGTGGACTATAATTTGAACAGAAAGTTTGTATTGTATTGGTCTGATGTTGGGAGGGGCCTGTGGTTTGTAGCATAATGGCAGTTGTCAAGTTCTGAATGGCCATGGATTTTAGTGTTATAGACCAGACATGCTGCATGAGTATTACTGTACCAACCCCTGATTTGAAGCACATGAGCAAGGAAAGCTTTACAGAGGACGCTGTGATACAGATGGAGAGTGGTGGAGGTAGCCTCAAGCTGCTTGCCATGTTTGCTCATGCACTGGCACCTGGGCCAAGAAACTTGAGTCATCAGCAGTGAGCATAGCGCACACACAGTGTAGAATGTCTGCGAGAGAGATGAGAACTGGTTTGCTAAGAAGTACAGTCTCAAAAGGCCACATTTTGGCAGGGCGCACTGGGAGGGAAATACGCAAATATCTAATGGGTCTTTAAAAACAAGTTAGATCAATTAGAGCTCACACATTAGTGCTAAAAGTGTGATTGTTGCATGGCCTCACCACAAGATAGTTAGTTGTTTGTGTGCCTTAATTTACTTTTCCTACCTTCACATGCTTGGATTTTGTTTTAAGTTTAACCCTAGCTCTGAGTTTGTAGAATACCATGTTTGGTGACAGCATCCCTATGAAGATTTTTATCCTCACATACACTCAGGCTGTGTCTAGACTGGCCAGTTTTTCTGGAAAATCAGCCGCTTTTCTGGAAAAACTTGCCAGCTGTCTAACCTGTCCGCTTGAATTTCCACAAAAGCACTGACTTCCTACTGTAAGAAATCAGTGCTTTTTGTGGAAATACTATGCTTCTCCCATTCGGGCAAAAGTCCCTTTTGCGCAAAAGGGCCAGTGTAGACAGCTGAGATTTGTTTTCCGCAAAAAAGCCCCGATCGCGAAAATGGCGATCGGGGCTTTTTTGTGGAAAAGCGCGTCTAGATTGGCCACGGACGTTTTTCCGCAGAAAGTGCTTTTGCGGAAAAGCGTCCGTGCCAATCTAGATGCTCTTTTCCGAAAATGCTTTTAACGGAAAACTTTTCCGTTAAAAGCATTTCCGGAAAATCATGCCAATCTAGACGCAGCCTCAATGTTAATGAAGATGGGATTATCAAGTGAATCTTAAACAGGATGTAGTAGCCCCTGCTTCCATCCCTGTAGAATCGGATGCAAGTTTGACCTAGCTCTTGAAAATTAAACAGAGGGTAGATTCTCATTGAAAATGATTCATTCATTTTTCTTCCCTGATATTTTCACAGCTGCAGCATGCTTTTGCATTGTAAATAGGGAGAGCAGATCTTTCTTGTTATACACATTCAATGAATGATTTTGGAACCTGTTGAAACTAAGTTGTAGGCAGGGAATAGATCTGTGAGTGCTTTGGGGGCATGAGAAATGTGCAGAGGGGAGAGGGAGGCTTTTTGCCATGTGACGTGAAATACCAAAGAAGCAGCCTGCAGGGTTTCTTCCCAGCCCACAAACAGACTTCAGAGGGGGGAGAGAGCCAGTGAGCAAGCAAACCTGAGCAAACACTGAGTTCTGCAGCTGGCAATTTGTAAAGCTCCGAGGATGAATGGGCTTTATCTTAAAGATGGCCAGGTTTCCTATACATCTGACCTCAGGAAACCTCCAGTGGAGAAGGTTAATATTTGGCCACACTGCCACAGATTTGGAGTTGCCATCTCGTCCCCAGACTTCCTTTTTTGCCTCTTTGTCTCCTTGCTATGTCAAGCAGGCATGCTTTGGGGGCACCCCCAGTGCCTGGACTATGGACCCCCTTTCCAGCCTCCTTTCCACCTGGAGTTCTGCACTGCCTATGAGACCTTTGGCTGCTGTGACCAGGAGAAGGACAACAGCATTGGAGCTAAATACTGGGAGATCATGGATTACATTGATCCCCAGGGCCACAAGCTGTGTGGAGGCTATATCAAGGATATCCTGTGTCAGGTAAGGCCGAGAGTTTCAAACTGCATGTTTACACTATGTTTTTGCTTTTGTTTGTGAGCATGCTCATGTGCTCTAGGCTTTCATTATAAGATGATTTCTCCACATGTCATCTCTTTTACTTTATGATGCCGTGGGAATGTATTGGATATCCGTATGGGAGAGGGAGGACGGTGCGGATAATGTTACTGGATATGAGTTGTTGCATAGTTTGTGTTGGGACCAAAGCATGGCCAGGTACCACAGGGATAGATATCTGATAAATGCATGTAACAAGTGACAATAGTTAATAATGAATTTCTATTTTTTGATACCTGTAAGTGCTGATGAAATAAAGGGGGAGTGTCCTGCTGTAAGGAGAGGGACAATACTAGCTCTTTGTAACAAAATGAAGGATTAAAAAAAATCAATATTTATTTTTCATTCTGCTCAAAAATACAAGGTGCCTTGTTTGGCAGATTATACAAGAACAGGATTATACAGGAACAAGATTAAATCAAAGCAGAACATGAAGCACAGTATTTTGATTCCCAGGTCCCATGATGGATGTGTTTGGATTGTGCTCCTGCCTAGTACACTGCAAATGCTGTGGTTATTAAAGTAGAACAAACATTAAACAGCCAGAAGATTCATACAGCTGAAAGATCCCAAAGCTTCGGGTGCCTGGCTGCCTCATTTGTGGGTAGAAAGGACCTGATTTTTAACAGCTATGCTAATCATGGACTGTATGTCAATACAAAGTAGCCAAAAATCATATTTTTGCTTATTACACGGGTATAAATTCTTCCAGCTAATCCTTCTTAGTCCTCAAATATTATCATCCATGTTTACTAAATACTTCCACTTTTATAGTTCCCCTGGTAAGGGAGTCTGGAGTCACCTTGGAGAAACCAACTTTCAGAAAAACAACATCAACATTTCATCAGTCATTTGCAGCCAATAAATCAAGAAAAAAATGTAATGTTGCCATGTCAGAACCTAATTAACATTAATGATTAATGATTGAGCATCCTATGGAGGATTTCTTATGAGTGACAGTGAGAAAATAAGCACACACAATGCATCTTTGTCCTTTGATCATAAGGCATATGTGTAGCTTAGTCTGAATTCATTATAATCGTATTTCATTGGATATTATAAAAATATTGGTATATATTTTAAGAAGTAATTGTCTGAGTAACCTGAGATTCTGTAATAATGACTTCTATATTAACTCTTTGATGAGAAGTGGTTAGTGACTGTCAGTTTTTAATGGATTGCTTCTGCTCCTATTGATGTTAATGGAGGCTCACGGGGAACAGGCTGGGTTCCTTAGTGAGAGTCAATTGTTAATTGGATTAACGGTCAGAAAGGTTCTACTGCATAATGCTTTTTTCCCCAACAGGAAGTCGGCTATAGCTCTTTGATCCAATAAGTAATAAATACAGCTCATCATTCCACCAAAATCAAGGATATAGTAATGATCGCAAAGTGTTGACATGTGATGAATACTGCACATGATAAAAACAAAAACAAAAAAACCCTAAAAAGCTTACAGTGTCAGGACACAGCTTTTGTCTTCCCAATGTGAAGTTCTCACATTGCCATCGCTATAGTCTGCATCTACAGTATGGGTCATATTAGCATAGCTATGGAACCATACCTTTGCCACTGTATCACTTGTAGTGGGGACATGGCCAAAGCCCTTTCAGCCAGGTGTGTGGCAGCCAGTGCATCCATTCTATGCTAGAAAGAGTGGAGAGCGAACAGGCCTGCATTTGACAGTCTTTCTGGTAACAGCAAGTTGCTGTTAGGAGCTGATGTTATGCACTACAAATAGCTTCCTCTTCGCAGCCCATAACAACAATTTTTATTGGGTCTACAAAACCCAGGAGCCATGCTATGCATTCCTGAGTTGCCATCTCCTGGCACCTTCTCGATATCTATTTACTGATTTACAGACAGAGAGCACTCTTGTAGTGGTTTAGAAAGCATTTTTCCTTAGCATCTTTGCCTCTGTCACAGCCTAGATTACCTGCATTTCTCTAATTTTTGCTTAAGTGAAAACAAAAGGTCACAACTCATCAGTTTGTGTAAAGTGACATGGCTCCATTGACTTCAGTGGAGCTACCCTGATTTACACCCACTGAGAGTCTGGGCTATATTTGCTGATTGATTGATTGAAAATATTGAAGGCTCCAAGATCTTCAGAGGCTGTAAAGGAGTAACTAGTCTGCAATATGACAGCTGAGGATCTGGTCCATACAGGCCATGTGAAGCCCTGGTCAAGACTTGCCCTTAATACCCTTAAAAAAGCACTGAAAAAAGGTAGGAGGGGGTTGCTTGACAGCTGGCAATCCCAGGAGGCTAGAAGCACACACTAAAATGGCAGTTCCATCATCCTTTGAGAGGATTAGCTGGCTGGTACAGAGGGAAGGCAAATCAAACCTCTTCAGACTAGCATTGAAAGATGTGATGTTAGCATGTGCTCGCTAATTTAGTAATTGGCATATTTTAAGACTGCTATAGATGAGACAGACTGCATGTAACATGGCACATGCTAGGGGCAAATCTAAAGGCTCAAAAACCAGAAGGTAAATAAAAAGGACACAATATTTATTTTTTAATTTCTCCCCAAAAAAACCCTCCAACCTTTAACCCAGTATCATGATTTGGGGGTGATTTCTGATGTTTGAACATGTGGGGTTAGCAAATATTGTGAATGAGAAGGAAGTGTCTCTGGGCTTGTCTGTCAGTAGTGAATGGAGATTCTTCTTTAGTTCAGGGGACAAGGGGAGGGCCTTTGCTTTTTGAACCAGAAGCATTAGAATTCTGACCTTACTTTCACCATGAAGGTCTACTTGGCATGAGTGAGACAACTACAATGTGCTTATGGGCCCCAGATTTGTCACAAATAATTACATTGTGCTACACTCACAATTACAGTTTGTTACACTTGGTGAGAAATTGATCATTTCTCCTGAAGGGAAAATGACAGACAAGTGACATCTGGATGTGGGGATCTTATTTCTTCAGCTCTACTAATCAGTTGAAAAGAATCCATTTCCTTTTCTCATCCCCCATCCACTGTCCTCCTCTCCCTCCACAGAGACAAATGACCAGGGATTTCAGTGAGACTGCTTAATCCGGGTGGTTTTACATAGGCCCTAAAGGAATGCCATCACCTCATATTTAGCCAAAACAGTGATTGCTGTCTGCATTCCTTGCAACACAGACAATGAATTGGAAATGTAAATAGTTTAGGAAACAGCAGAGGTTAGTGAATAGATGGACAAGAATGTCCTGCTTAGAGGGGAATGCTTTGTTCAATACCTTGAACTGCAGAAGACTGAACACCACAATGATAAAGACTATAGGCTGGCAGATGTTCATTAAGGATAGGGGGGCTGAGGTTGCTTCTTGCTCCAATGAGAAATGCATATCTCCCGCATATGCAAGCACATCGGGATATTCTAGCAGTTCTCAGCCTCCTGAATGCCATGGGCCATCTGCCTCACACAGGTGCAGCAGACAGAGCTCCTGAACTCAATGCAATGACACTAATGCAAAACCAAGGTGTGAAGCGCATCAGACTCCAGGTACATTGCAGAGTAAGGATATTAAAATGTGATTGTTTGGCTAATCGTATAATCAATGTAATTTGTAGTGACTCTACAGTTAGTTGAAAAGCACCTCTGCAGAGCCTCAGTGGGGGTAGCTCCAGAAGAGCTGACTCAAGCAGGGACTGAGCAGTCCTGGCTTGTGCTGGCTCCAGAGCCACCCGTGCTGCACCTCTGCATCTTAAATGCAGTAGAATCAGCATGAGCTGGGACTACTCGATCCCAGCTCACGTTGAGTCCAGCAGCCCTGGCCACCGTGAACAAGGGTTGCTTGGTAGCAACAGCCCCTGTCCACGTGGGGCCCAGCTCCCTGCTGGGACCCCTGCGGACAGGGGCTGCTTTGCAGCAGCATCCCCTATTCCCCCGCCCCCCGCTGCCTCTGATAGAAGCAGAAGCGGGGGGAGGGGGAGGTTGGCGGCACCCTGGAGACAGTGCTGGGGAGAACTGCTTCAGTCCCTGCTCACCCTGCGTTCCCTGTGGCACTTCTGCTTTTGAAATGTACAGGAGCCCCAGACTGGGAACCAGCATGAGCGGGGACTGAAGCAGTCCCTGCTCGCGCCATTTCCCGCTGTGCCTCTACCTCCGCTGCCCCCCACAGAGACGGTGCTGGAGGGAACTGGCTTTTAAGCCTGCTTCTCCCCGTTGCTGCCTCTCTCTGATAGAAGCAGCAAGGTTGGGGTGAGTTGTGTTGACCATCCAATAAGCATTTGCTTATCAGATAGTCAACTAGTCGCTTACATCCCTATTGCAGAGACTGCTGAAGAGAGTAGCAGAAGCTCTCTGAAACCAGGTTCAGGGAAGTACTGGTGAGATAAGACTGCTCTAAGAATTGCATGGCCTAACCTACAGTACAGGGCTCTGTCCAGTTCCCCCATTTCACCCCAGCAACTTCTCAGCAGTCTGTGACCACTCCTTGGTTCAGGATACTCCCACTCTGTGTCAAATATTATGAGAATTCAAATGGAAGCAGCTACCAAACCTAACTTTAGGAGATACACATATGTATACATGTGTGCACACTTCCCAGGGCAGAAGCAGACAGGTCATGGACAATATTCTCTCATATTTTTCCATCCATGTGCAGAATAAATTTTGTTATGTACAGTTAGGCATGTGCGGATGTGCCCCACCAGTGGAAACACATGCTGCTGGCTATGGGCGCTCTGCTAATCAGCTGGCTGGCATTTGAATCTCTACTGGGTGGCCGTCCAAGCACTCAGGTTACAGGAACACTGGTCACAGACAGTTGTAGCAATTCCTGGGGGGGAAAAGGCCATTCACTTGAATCCATGCTCACAGGCTGCTCTTGAGTCAAATGGCAAGCATGAAAAACCTCTCCGGCCTGGTGGACGAGGCTTTTCTGCTGAGACGAGCCAGTAGTTTCTGGCCCCCGCTTTTTATCTTATGGTAAGCAGAGGAAGGTCTCTATGGTGATGCAATTAGACATCAGGGCCTGATGCTCTGAGGTGTGGAAATCCTGACAGAGGCTATTATTTTCAATTAAAATATTGAAACCCTGGAGCATTTGCACAGTTGTCCATGGAGATTTGGATTATGATACATGGAAAATACTGTCTTAATAATTTTTACTTGTGGGCTTGCTGTGTTTTGAACTTATTAAATGACCGCTCAATGAAACTCTGCATATATTTGTGTATGCTGTGGTTGTAAAACCAATTAAGTAAGTAATCTCAGCTTTCCACAGGGTTTAACTGATTATGTTTTAGTTTCTACAGAGCTTGTGCCGACAAATATACAGGTCAGGTATTAACAGAAACACTATTTTCTGAAGGGTCCAACATAGAAACTCTGCTGGGTAAAAAGCTAGTGGCATTTTGCAAGATTAGGTAGGTGTTAAAAATCCCATTATATAGATGAGGAAACTGAGTCACAGAGCTGTGAGCATCCAAATGCTCAAACTTGAGTGCCTAATGTTAGGTACTTACACTATATCCTACATTTCTAAATATCTGATTAAGGTATGGAATATTAGGCACGCAAGTGTGAAAATTTCAACCTCAATATTCAGCCAAGATCACACAGAGAGTCAGTGAGAGATGCAGGAACAGAACCCAAGAGTTTAAAATCTCAATCTAAGATACATTTGATCATAATTCAAGGTTATGCATTGACTTCCATGGGACTCTACACGTAATTAAAGCTAAGTATGTGCTTAAATGCTTTGTTGAATCAAGACCTGAAATATCTCTGAAAAATGTAGTGGCAATGATATTCCAAGGTTGCTTAATCGTGGTTATTTATCTTACTGATTATTTGTATGTTGCTGACCTATGTGCTTAGATGAAGGCTGCTCAGTGCATCAGGGATGTACATATGCAGACAGACGTGTAATTAGCTTCCATTTATTTTCATAGGTATGCTCCCCATATGCTGCCCATCTTTATGATGCAGAAAACCTCCAGACACCTCTTAGGAACCTGCCAGGTCTTTGCTTTGATTATTGCTCTGAGTTCCATTTCTATTGCCGCTCTGCTATTACACTACTGACTAATGATAAACATATTCAGGAGTGCTGCGAGAAGAACAAGACCCGCTTTTGTAACCTCCTTAACATACAGGACCAAGACTACTGCTACCCTGATGTGCTGAAAAACACAGACCTCAATCGCAATCTGGGGTCAGTAGTGGAGGACCCAAAGGGCTGCCTTCAGCTGTGCTTGACAGAGGTGGCTAATGGATTGCGGAATCCAGTCCTGATGCTCCATGCCAATGACAACACGCACCGCATGTTCGTGGCAGAACAGGTGGGGATCATCTGGGTCTACTTGCCTGATGGAAGCCGACTGGAGGAGCCCTTTTTAGATATTAAGAAAATAGTGCTGGCTACCCCATGGATAGGGGATGAGAGAGGTTTTCTTGGGATGGCTTTTCACCCCAAGCACAAACACAACAGGAAATTTTACATCTATTATTCGTACATGGATAAGAAGAAAGTGGAGAAGATCCGAATCAGTGAATTCAAAGTTTTAGCATCTGATATTAACAAAGCTAATCCACACTCAGAAAGGTAAAGGTTATTCAGAGCCATTCTGAACGTATCATATTCTCATATGACCATATAGGAACCTGCCCAACTGCAACATCTGGATCTGAATGCTGAGCTTATGGCCATTCTCCGGTGCACAGACCCACATGGGCGCATTAAGGAGACTGCTAAACAGAGACCGAAAGATGTGAATGCTGGTTCAAAGTCACACAGCAAGCCTAAAGCAGAATGGAAAACTGAACGAAATTCTCCTTCTCTAACCATTAGACACAGTGTCTCCTGTCCCTGCCCTGTAAGATCTAGCAGTATGGTGGCAGCCACAAAAACACCAACATTTCAAATAATGACCCCTGTAGAGAATGAACTTACACTCTGAAATTGCTTTATAAACAATAATGTTAAATATAAGGTAATACCTTCAATTATATAGGCTCAATGTTTTATTGCCCACTGCAAAGGTATTTTATTGCAGTGATAACATATGTATCACACGCATTACAGAGCTAAAGTTCTTAATGGCACCAGCTTGGTCTCACCTTTAATAAAAGCTAAATTGCTCAGAACAAGAATATCTTTCCTGGAAAGGCAGATGCTGTCCCTTTCACTCATAGAAAAGGATTGGGTACTAATTTTGTTGCTCATGAGATTCACAGTCAGGCTGAAAGACACACAAAAAGCTCCCCAAACTAGCCAGCTATTATATGAACAAGAAAAACCCTGCGCCCATTTCTCACAGGGAAGGCAAGAAGCAGTTTTCACCCAGTGTAAATGTTGAAATGCATTGGAAGATTCATGTTTTTGAATGAGCACTGGTATTTTATTTTGGTGCCTATGGTTGATGGTCAGGGGTGCAATGAAGGAAGATCTGGGGGGAGGCCTCTGACTGAAATTGGAAATTTGGCCCAGCCACTTTGGGATGGGCAGGCCAAATCCAAGTGGTGTTTGGGTCCCCCAGCTCTGCAATCCGTCTGGTACCCATGAGCTTTAGGCAACCCCAGTTCTGGGGGAGAAGACTGGAGATGGGCTTTTTCTGTGCTTCTTGGGGAAGCAAAGATATAGGAGGAGGAGGGGATTAGTCTGTTCCTGCTGGAAATGTTACACTTCAGCTTGATAACCTCTCTGGGGGTACACTAACGAAGCTTGGGATTTAAATATCCTGCACTTGATTAGCATATTCCTGGCCGGTTGCCATTTTGGAAACTGACTAGCCCAAAGTAACTGCTCATGTCTATATGCAGCAGAGAAGCGGGATTCCGAGATAAACCCCTTAGTTCGAATTAACTGTTACTCCTTGTGGAATGAGGTTTAACGGTTAATTTGAACTAAGGAATCCTGCTTCTCTGCCGCGTATGAACCACCAGCGTGATGGGTACTCTGCTACTAATAAATAATACTAAGGAAGTTTTTGCATTTTTGTAATGCCTTTCCTAGAGGGAGCCCAAAGTGATTTCTAAAGGAAATAAGCTTCCAAAGAACTCTCAGAGGGAAATACTATTGTCCACATTTTACAGATGGGGAAACTAGATACTAGGCACTCTCTAGTATCTTTCTTGGTCGTCTGAGCAGAGAGATCAAGGACTGAATGGACACTAGGAGCTGATGTGTCCTTTCACTTCTATAGATGGCTCTTCTGTGTGAAGATGAAAGTACCGTGGGGGAGGGGATAGCGGGGATGGAGCGTGCAGTGCTGCAGCCATGCTGTTCTGTGGCTAAACAGAGACCTTTAGCCCTCAGGCCTTACAGTCTGGCCCGTTTCCCTGGGCACTAGAAGACCCCTGACTGTGTCATCATCAAGTGCTAGAAAATGCACCCAAAAAAATTAGATTTTAAAAATCCTATTTTGAGTATAGATAGATACGTGTTGATAAGGATGTGAATGTTTAACCCCTTAACTGGTGGGTACTGGAGCAGTTCCCTGCCTGCTGCGAGCAAGGGGCTACTTCAGCCCCAGGGGGGCCCCGCCACGGACAGAGGCTGCTGGAGTGCCCTGTGCCCACAGCAGGTCAGGGCTGCTCCAGCTCACCCAGTGCAGCCCCTGCCTGCGGCAGAGGGCTGCTCCAGCCTAGTGGTAGGTGGGGTCTGGAGTGACCTCCCCACCTGCCCTCTCCTTCAATCAGTTAACTGGTTAAACAATATGTTTAACGGGTTAACCAATTAACTGGGATTTTACATCCCTAGTGTTGAATACACTTCACTGTTAATTATAGCTGAAAAGTGCCTTTGGCAGGTCAAACTTTCTAGGAGCTCTGCCTTACAGTAAGGGACAAAGATCCACTGAGCTCTTTGATGTTACCATTGGCTGAAAGGGCAGTGTGAAATCAATGGGAACAATGAGTGCCCACCTGCTGGTTATGCACGTATCATTGTCAGATTGCCATGTGCCTTGCAGACTTGGGGTATGTCTCTACCTTTAGGGTTGCCGAATGGTTTCAACAGAAATACCGGACACACTTGACATTACATCACAATCTACATTACATCTTATTTAGAAAATACCAGACATTTATATTTTCTCAATTTGTTTCCCGAACAGAAAGCTCAAATACTGGACTGTCTAGTTCAAAACCAGACACCTGGCAACCCTATCTATCTTTGAGCTGGAAGGTATAATTCCCAGCTCATATAGATGTAGCTCTGCTCGAGGTGGCTCCTAAAAATAGCAGTGTGTCCCCAGCAATGGGGGTGGCAGCTTGGGTTAGCCACTTATGTAGGAGGTCAGATAGGCTTGTACTCAAGATGGCTAGTCCGAGAGGCCACCTGTGCTGAATGGAATTTTAGACACTAGCTTGAGCAGAGGGAGCATAGATATCCCTGTGCAAACTAGGAATCACACCTCTCCCAGTTCAAATGTAAACATACTCATAAATGGAAGGATGAGATTAGCAAAGAACATGAAAGGTCCTTGCTTAGTCTGGAACAGTGAGATAGCTTGGAAGGACATGTCATGCAGAAAAGAGGTCATGCAGTCTACTTATTGTGTAGACTGAGTAGTAACACATTTCTCTAACTCAGCAAGACACTGAATCTTGTCCAGTGGCTGCATCTGTGGTTATTTCTCTTTCCTTTCCTTTTTAGGAGTCTTTTGGAGCTTGAAGAACCAGCTGCAAATCATAACGGGGGGCAGCTCCTCTTTGGCCTGGATGGCTATATGTATCTGTTCACCGGGGATGGAGGGAAAGCTGGGGACCCTTTTGGAAAATTTGGGAATGCTCAGAACAAGTAAGCTAAAGGACAGGTTGATGCATCGCTTATGAGTGCAATGCATTGGCTAAGTACATGACAAGACAGAATTTAGACCTTTAGCAAAACAAGGGACTGAACTGATGCAAAAAAAATGCTGCTTTACTAGTTGGTGCAAACCAGGATTATCCCCAATTTACAATACATCAGGCAGTGTCCTCAGTATACTTTTAGGATGAGATTTATGAAGCCTGAAAATTCAATAGGCTAGAAGATTCAGATGTCCAAATCCTTTTGGGAATTGGCATCCAAATCCCCTAAGTGGCTTTTCAAACTTTAAACTTAATATCTTGGAAGAATTACACACTGGTACTGGCTACCAGGCAAGCGAGCAATTTTACATGACAGCTAAAAATCTGTACATTGATGTTTCCTGTTCAGCGATTGCAGACTGCCCCTTGTTTTCCATGCCAAACTGCATGAGCAAGTCATTTACATTGAATATCTATACTGGTCCAACCCTTCTGCCCTTACAAGGGACACTTTATGATTCCAATTCTGATGTAAGCTATTTTTGCAGCTCCGTATACATATATAAATAACACATGACTTTTGCCAAAAACTTGAAAGTGAAATTAGTGCCCATGGCACAATGGTTTCTTTCTGAAAACAAAATCTTCTGTGCACACCTAGAACCAGTACAACCCAGGGAGCGGCAGTGCAGGTTTCCCCCACACTGTCCCACCTGACCTCTAAGGACTGGTTTTGTTACCACAGTCCACCCATTCCTTTGCTCCTCTGCTGAGACAAGGGTGCCAAATGGCTATTGTACTGTGCCACATGGAACTTCATGGGGAAAGCAGAGAGCAAGCAAGAGCAGAGAACGTCTTTCTCCAGAAAAACCACAAATCATGTGTGAGCTAAAGGAGAAACTCGTGTGCAGCAGAGGGAATGATTGATCACAGCCGATCTGATCCCCTTCAGGAGAGGGCTTTTCCCCCAACCATCTAGATATTTTGTTAGTCTTTATGGTACTGCACTTTTCTTTAAAGTTTTTTCAGTTAGCGTGTATCTACACTGCACCATAAACTCGAAATAAGGTACACAATTTCTGCTATGCAAATTGCGTAGCTTATTTTGAGTCTATTTCAAAATAGGCTATTTTGAAATTTGGCACTGTCTGCACAGCACCAAATTTCAAAATAAAGTGCTATTTTGAGCCATCCTTTACTCCTTGTACAATGAGGTTTACAGGGATGATGAAATAGTGCATCTGCTATATTTTGGAATAGTGGACACATTCAAAAGATGCAGGGTAGCTATTTCGGGATACCTCTGGTATGCCAAAATAACTTTGATGTATAGACATACCCTTATAGACCAATATGGCTACCCCTCTGAAACTTCCCCTAGCCAGTTCATTTATTAGAACTGGTTGACATTTAAAAAAAATTAAATATTTTTGATGAAAAAGGACACATTTTCATGAAAATTTTCACAAAATAATGTTCTTATTTTCTCACCAACTCTTATATTAATATTTATGAGCTTTGATTTACCTGGCAGTCTCATTAACCTGTTGCTTTTGCCTTGATTTACTTTCAGGAGTACTTTACTAGGAAAAGTGTTACGGATAGATGTGAATGGGAAAAGCCCAGATGGAAAGCCATATCGCATCCCACCAGATAACCCCTTTGTCTCTGACCCCAAGGCTCTTCCTGAAATCTATGCCTATGGGGTCAGGAATATGTGGCGCTGTGCTGTTGACAGAGGGGACCCGGTTACTCATAAGGGACGAGGGAGAATATTCTGTGGTGATGTTGGACAGAACAGGTTTGAAGAAGTTGACATCATTGTTAAAGGAGGGAACTATGGCTGGAGAGCTAAGGAGGGATTTGAATGTTATGACACAAAGCTTTGCCACAATTCCTCCTTAGGTAAGCCAGAAACTTCTTGTGTGAGCTTTGCTTGAGACAGCACATGCCATGGAATACATATTTAATTAATGACTATACTGCTGCTTTTCCAATGAACCTCTGTAATCTGAAGTCATGGACGGGGGGGAGATGAGGAATATGTCCCTGCCCGGGGTGGCTGGTGGCCCTGCTGGGTGCCGAGACGGGCTGGGGTGAAGGAGGTCTGACCAGGAGGGAGGGTGCAGGAGATTTCCGATCCAAATACAAAAACATCCTGGCACTTCAAGAATTCTTTTTGTGTACCACATTACACACATGGCGAAGGGCCAGTGCAGACAACAGACGATTTTCTGTGGATTCCAGTGGGCACTGGATTGGGGCCTAAGTGCATTATGGGAATATTTGCTTTTCTCTGAAACATCAGGTAGTGGCCACAGTAGTAGGCAGGATACCAGGCTTGGTGACATGATCTTATAGCAAATCCTATGTGGGAGGCAGTGTGGCCTATTGGATAGAGCACCAGACTGGGCCTCAGAAGACCTGGAGTCTATTCCTGGCTCTACTCCTTGATGACTTTGTCTCTAAGTCATTTCATCTTTCTGTGCCTCAGTTTTTCCAGCTGTAAAATGTGGCTAATGATCCTGATCTTCTTTGATATCACTCTGATATCAGCCGATGAAAAGCACAATATAAGAACTGGGTACAATTATGTTCCTTAAGGATTTTGTTGACAAACGCCATTTTTAAAATAATAAAAGGTAAACAATTCTGAGAACTAAGCTTGGCATATGAGTGTATGTATGTGGTATCTATCTACCCAATATATCTGTTGTGGTGATTGCTATATGATGCTATTAATGCAAAATACACGAGTAGTTTTTAACAAGGTCCAACACCGTGGCCTAAGAACCAGAAAGTTTACCATGTGCCTGTGTTAGGCTTGGCTGCTAGGCTTCCGATTTTAATTCATAACATTTTTCTGTCTGTGCTGTTCAGAAGAAAACCTCAGTCATTCTGGAAAAGTCTGGAGAGGTCTAAAAGTTTTCAGGAGCAGAATGTTAGTTCCCCTATCCTCACCAAAAAGTAAAAGGGCTGGAATCACCTTTCATGGTGCCAGGCAGAAAGGTGCCAGTAATTTACATTTCTGGTAATATTTGGCATCCAATAGAATGATTGTCAGTTGCTGCCCATGATTAGCATTTACTACATTGGGAGCAACTGCAGTGTATCAATCTGTTAAACTGAACTGCAACTTCCTGCTTCCATATGTTGTCTTTTCAGTAGAAATCAACAGAATGTTAATGTTAATCATTGTTACATTGCTTGATACACTTGGCCACATGTGTACTCTCACTGCAGCTTTTACCTGCTAGGTAAATACGATAGCACGACTGAGCGAGTGAACTTCATTAAGCAACCTAGGAAGTTCCTTTAAAGCCTCAGGACCAAATTTTGTTGGTGTACATGAATGAAACCCCATTGAAATGAACCAAGCAACTCCCATGTGCACTAGCCCTTTCGGTCTCCATTGCATACATCAGTATTGTTGGCCAATTGCTCTTTGATAAGAGAGTCAGTGAAAGCTGTTCTGTTTTGTGTTTAACAGATGACATTCTTCCAATATTTGCCTATGGCCACACTGTGGGGAAGTCAGTCACTGGAGGATACGTGTACAGGGGCTGTGAATCCCCGAACCTGAATGGCCTCTACATTTTTGGTGATTTCATGAGTGGGTGAGGACATTTTCCATTCTTTTCTATCCAGCTGTCCTTATATTTGTATGGCTCCCATGAATGCAATGCCTGCATATCTGAGCATTTTGAAATGCCCTGGCCCACAGCCAGTGAAAGTTCCAAATATTCAGCATATTTAGATCAATGGTTTGATTTGATCCATTACAGAGACAGCACCGGCAAGGTTGTGATATGGATCTGAACTTCACCCAAGTTACAGTTTTCAAGAGTGGGATTTTTATTCAGGCTCATCTTATACAAAAGAAAATTAAACTCAGTTTAAGAATAAGGGTTCCAACTAGCCTTTTACTTCCAGTGATGCATGATTTTTGCAGGAATTAACTGAGAATGGAAATTTGGAATCATGCAACATAAGGTTTTATTTTTCATCCAGTCGCCTTATGGCTTTGCAGGAAGATGAGAGGAGAAATAAATGGAAGAAGCAAGATATTTGCATTGGTAGCACTAAAGTCTGTGCTTTCCCTGGACTGATCAGCTCTTATAACAAATATATCATCTCCTTTGCTGAAGATGAGGCAGGTAATGCATCTCCTTAGTCACGTTTGTATAGGAATTTGGTTTCTGTGTTTCAGGGGTTTGGCTGCTCTTGGGAAATGTTAGTGAAGATTGACCAACTGCATAGTGCTGATGAAATACCTTAGCATTGCAGTGTGGTTGGCAAATGGTTCAGACAGTTGAGAAATCTGCCTAGCCATGAGACTTGTGAGGTTTTTTTCACCTACCCCAGACACACATGATGTACAGCTCAAGATGAGCTCATTATAGAACTCATGGCTCTCTTGAAATCTGAATCTGGATTGTAACTCACTCAAAGTTGGGTGGGAGGTTGGATTCATGTTTTGATTCAGGCCCATTCATATTGTTTGTTTACTTTTCGAAATTTAAAAATGTAAAAGTATGTGTCACTGCAATGGGATCGTATTCATTCCAGTTCTTGCATCCAGCCTAATCTCTTGGGTAGCAGAGTCTGGAAGGAAGAGGAAGTCCTTTAATAATATCTTATGGTTCAGTAGAATATGGATTGCATCCTTTTCTTGTAATGGAAAAGATCCTGGATGATCTCAGACTCAGGCACAATATTTTCTTACACATTTGGCTACAATTTCTAGAATATGAAAAATAAGGCAAAAGATAGACACCTGGGGAATGTAGAAATGTTATTTTATTGTAAAACACTAACTTAGTAGGGATGGATGTTGAATTCTGGTATGAACTCTTCCTCTAAAAATTGTATCAGTGCTGTAATGTAATTTAAATTACACTAATGGTTTCTTCTAGTATTTGCTCGAACTATCATAACCTCCCTACATAGTATACTGATGGCTAATGAAAAGATATGAATTCTAGAGATAGCAGTCAATTTATCAAAATATGACCCTGAACAACCCAGTAACAAAGAGACTTTTGTCCTAATAATTAGCCATTTTAGAGACTGATTTGTTGATAGTTTATAAGTAATTTAAATATTTTGTTTTTGGGTGTGTGTTTCTTTTATTTATAATTGCTGGCTGTTTTACTGGATGAAAACAAACCTTGTAGAAAGTACACTTATAATACATACCAAATAAAATTATATTTTGGAGTGTCCTCTACAAGGACACACAATGGCCATGAAGCTGCACTGGAACAGACACAGGAGTGCTTTGCTTGCATGTAGCCTAGCTGAAATTAGTGGGTATGTGCGTGGGGCTATTGTAACCTGCCTACATGGATCACATGGTGAGATCGTTGCCTAAAGTGTGATTCTGAATGAAACTAATATGGTTGTGTCTTCCTTTCTGAGGATATGACATAATGGACTGGCAGGAAGTGGGGGTGTGGAATAGTAGTGCACCAAATCTGCAGTTTGTCTGTGTGTTTGCATCTGAAATGACTTAAGTTCTTTTTGTCTCTATTTATTAAGGGGAGCTTTATTTTATGGCTACTTCTTATCCCAGTGCCTATGCACCACATGGATCTATCTACAAATTTGTTGATCCTGCAAGGTTAGCATTAAGATCTGGTTTTTCTTTGAATGCTGCTTTATAATCAACACAAATTATCTAGTTGACTTAACAGATGTGGAATATGTATGTGGAATCTACCCATCTATGTTTTGATCCCAGTTACTTTATTGTAAATCTTGAGCAACTCCACTAGCTTGAGTGAAGTTAATTCTAGAATTACACCCAGGCCCAAAATCAGTTAAAAGTTTGGGGACAATAAAGTTAAAAAGTATTCATCTTTTTATAAGTCAAAGATACAACACAGACCTGTTTTAATAGTACAAAGTAATAATCAGTACCCTTAGGGTCTGTCCATACGTCAGCCAAGGACTTTGTAAAATAGACATTAATTTTTTACGGCCAAAAAGATCTTTCACCAAAACTTTTCTTTCTTACTCAACATAACTTTAGCCTGGCTGGCATGTACCTCTTATCACAATCCAAAGGTGAGGAATGTAAAGGTTAGGGTAAGTATTAAAACATGACAAGAGGGAGATTAGAAGAGGATTGGTAATGGGTTACAGTGCTTTTACCTCTAGGCCACTACTTCAGTTCCAGCCAGCATGAGGCTGTTATGTCTGAAGTTGTTACTATATCACTAGTGGCTTAAGAAAAATTAATTAGTGTTCTCTAAGAAATTCCCCAGAGACCTTGTTTTTGTTCACAGTTAATGCAGATTGGCCACTTGTTTTCTGTCATCCTCAGCAAACAGGCCTAGAAGTGAATGAGCCATGCCAACAGAAATGTCCTTTCACCATACATGGTGATTGTTCCAGAACACCACTGAGGCACATTTGTGTGGGGGAGCTATTAGGTCAGAATGGGCCATTTAGATTGTCTAATCCAGGGGTTCTCAAACTTATTTTGCTGGGCTCACGTATGAAAATATTTCAGGCTGTGACGATCCTCTCCAAAAAAAAGTGATGTCCCATGCCTCATACTAACCTTACTTCTATCCTTGTGCTGGTGGTGGCACTGCCTTCAGAGCTAGGCTCTCCAGCCATGACCCCTCAACAATAGCCCGGTGACCCACTTTTGGGTTGGGACTCCCAGTTAGGTAGACAACAAATCTAGTCGACCCCCTGCCTAGTACAGGCCATTAAATTTCAAACACCCCTATGTTGAGCCCAACGACTTCTGTTAAACTAAAGCATGTTATTTGTGAGGAGACTGAACTGTTGTATGCCACAGGCAGAGAACAGGAGAGACCCAGATGATGCTGAAGCCCCAGTGCAATAGCAGGAGACTGATGAGGTAAAATGTGTGCAGATTATCCCTGCAGGTAAATCATACTGCAGAGAGAGGCAGAAAAAAAACCAATTAAACTAATTTAAATTGAAAACAGATTAAAAATGTTTTGTAGACACAAGTCTCTAAGTCTCCCATGAATGCCAGCGTGATGAGCTGAGGTTGATAGGGTTTAGCAGTGTCAGCTGTGAATCAGTTCTCCAGAGTGAGTCTATTAGGCTACATTTTAGGAGGCTGTTGAAAAGCAATGATATGCTGGCACAACCCTAAATTGTTGTCATCTATGACTTGGCAAATGTATTGTAGGGAGGTCTTCTGGATTTGCACACAAGGGTGTGATGCGTGGGTTCTGATGTGTTTGTAACTGAGGTTCTCCTGTATAAATGAAGAAACCCAGCTTTACATTTTCCAAGATGCCTGTGGAGGGTGGTCAAGTGCCTGCATGTGAGCATGGAGGCAGCTTACTAATGGACAGCATTATTATATAGGAGGCCTTGATGCTTGCTCTACATGTTTGTTTATTTGTTTGTTTGTTTTCTGAAATGAACCAGTTTTCTTAGCTGAGTTTCAGAAGCTTCTTCCTTTACCCCATCACCTGCCTTCTAGAGCATGACTGTGTGTTTAATCTTTCCTTTGGTCCTTTTGGAGATATTTTTTTTCTGCACGTTGGCTGGGTTCCCTGCAAAATAGGCCTCATTGCTTGTCTTTGCTTGTCTTTTAGATGAAGCATCTAACTTTAGTAAGAGCCTGATCTTCAGGAGCACTCAGTAGCCACAATTCCAATGGATACTGAGGTTGCTCATCACCTCAGAAAATCAGGGCGTTAGGTCTTCAGACACTCAAGCACTTCAAAGGAGGGGCAGTGCGTGAGTTGGGTAACAGTCTAGCTCTCCCAGTTGTGTCACAATTATAGCTCTTCCATCTTGATTTGTCTTTCCTTGCAATTTAACAAAGTTTTCTGTTTTATTATACTTTTCTCTGCTGAAGGTGGCCAGATGTGAGGCGCTTGGCACTTTGGCGATATTTTAGACTATAGAGTGAGGTAGCTAGCAAAGAACAGAGAATTTCATGTGGCACTTTTTATAATTGTATCAGCAAAATATTATTCCACAATAATAAAACATGGGCATTTTTTCAGTGAGGAAAAAGCACACTTTTTTGTGAAAAGGAGTTCCTAATTTTTTACCCTAATTGGTTTCGCCTGAGGGTACATGACCTAACAGAAAGGACTGATATATAATCTCTATCTCTGGAAAAAGTAAACTTCCTGATCATTTCCATGTGCTTTTTAAATTTTAAAATCTGTTTTTAAGGAGAGCGCCACCAGGGAAGTGTAAACACAAGCCTATTTCTTTGAAAACAAAGAGTAAACGTATCCCATTTGTTCCGCTGGCAAGTAAGTCCTTCGATTTTCCTTTTATTGTGTGGCACACTGTATACAATCTGAAAGAGATGTCTGGTTGAAATGTGCAGGCTGTTACAACTCATGTTTCTGTTGCATGTTAAATATACTGCTTTTAATTAGTTTCCTCAGATGAGTTTGGAAGTGATTAAAGTTAGTTTTTTAGTGTTCACAACAGCAACAGAGTGAGCAGAAAACACGAAAGAACAAAGTGTGGTTAAGGCTCTACACTGGGACTTTCAGGGGACCTGCGTGCAATTTTGGGCTCTGATACTGGTTCTCAAGTAACCATGGGAAAGTCTCTGTGGGCTAGATTCACAAAGATATTTAGGTGCCTGCCACCCAGACTTAGGTACCTATATCCAGTTTGTTGGCTAAATTTTTGCTGTAAAATTTCCCTTGCTGCCTAAGTTCTGCCTCTGCACATGCACACTACTGCCTTCCACTAGGCATCCAAATACCTACCTCTCATGTTGGCCCCATAAGTGATTCATGAGCCAGGAGGACACAGGCACTCCTCTACCTATATTGCTTGAGGCACCTCGTCTGGCAGGCATGCTCATGGGTCACTTATAGGTTTGCCAGATGTTTAACCAAAAATACACCCCCCTCCCCAAAAATACCAAGAACAAAATTCTGTTGAGGGGGGGGAAAAAAGGGGGAGACTAAAGTTGTTGAGCAAAAAAATAATAAAATAAAATAAAAAATCAGCATGGCCCCTTTAAGAAGAGGCTTTTTCGCTGGAGGCCATTTTGTTTTTCTGTTTCAGCTGCAAGACAGGCCTCTGCAGAACCAGGTAAGCAGGGGGGTGGGGGGGCTGGGCCTGGTTGCTTAGTGTGTCATAGGGTTGCCAGGTGTCCGGTATTTTCACCTCCTGTCAGGGAAAAAAACATCAGAAAATACCAGACATTTTAGGTAGCCGGTATTTTCTGAATATTTTTACTGGACAGGAGGCAAAAATACCGGACTGTCCGGGTCAATACCAGACACCTGGCAACCCTAGTCACTTAACTCCACACCAGACACCCAGGAAAAGGTAGAGGTGGAGGTCCACTCTCCTTCCCTCCTAATTTTTAGCATACTGGTTAGTGCACTGACCTTTAATGAGTGAAATGCCTAGTTCACTTTTCATGTATGTGGCCTAACCACTGGGCTCTGGGACTAGGGCTGTTAAATATCGTTTAATTGAATAGTCGATTAAACTCATGAATTCTTATTGGTTAGTTGACTATTCTATAGTCCCCGGGCAGCCCCTGTCTGTGTGTTTCTGTTGCTCTCATTGAATCTGTTCCACTGTAGAATCTCTTCTATGCCTTAGGTGGTAGGAATTTGAACTGGGGGTATTCTACATCTCAGAGAATTACCCTACCAACTGGGCTAAACGTTATGTGCTCATAATAGCTAACTCCCTTTATATTGCTAACTCTTAATCTCTCAGCACCTCAGTTTGCCCAGCTGTAATACTAGGATGATAATACTTCCGTTCTCCTGACCTTTGTCGGTTGTGCATATTTAGATTGTAATGTCTATGATTCAGCGATTGCCTCCTACTAGCTGGGATGAACAGTACCCAACACCGTGAGGCCCCATTGGGACTTGTAGATGCTACAACAATATTAACAATTAATGCTATTGATAACAACCAGTCAACAAACTAGATTTGTCAAAGATCATTTTATTTATCCTTTTATTAAAATCTCCTTGCCAATTCCATCTTACCTTTTATGCAACTTTGGTCTTTTTCTACATAAATGTTTATTTTTTTTTATTCTAAGAGAAAGCAAACTTGGTCTTAGCAACCCTACAAAAAGAAGCTAGCATTTGTATTTCATGGAGGAAGCAGATTGAAAATGAGAATAGTGAGGCAGTGTTCAAGCATCACAGTTTTTAATCTCTTTTGAAAGGCAAATATGTTTCTTGTCTGCTTGCTTGTCAATCTGCTAAGGCTTTTTTCAGGGATATGACCGAGTTAGTGTTTTGCCTTAAACCAGGAATGCTGAAGCATTTTAATTACTTTTCACAGAGACTGTCCTTGAGCTGCTTAATGACCCTGCAACAACCAAACCTCCCACCACATCCCCTATCTCCACTGGAGCCACCCAAACAACCTCTTCCAAAAAAGCCAAGAAGCCAGGTTCCCCCAAAAGCTCCACCAAGCTGTCAGCAGTGAAGCCAACCATGGCTGGCAAAAAGAGGCAGGCCAAAGGATCCAGGATTAAACTAGATCCACCAGAGGAGACAACAAAGGCTCCAAAGGTATATATAGCATCACCTGTGACATCTTTGCCAGCCAAGAGATATTCCCAGATAACTGGACCCAAGAAGAAACTTCTTCCTAAGAAAACTGTATCAGCCAGGGAGAAAAAACAGAAGAAAAAAGGGTCAGTTCTAAGAAGCTTCCTGCAAACACAAGAGAACTTCCAATGAGCCAGAAAGAAAACCAGTGCTTGATTAAAAAAAGCCAATTTGTCATATGAATTGAAGTTTTCCAACATGGACTCATTCGAAGGATCAGACCTGTGTCCAGTTTGTGTCCAAAACACGTTCATAAGATTATGTGGGGGGAAAATTCAGTCTTGGTGAATGTGTACTACTTCATGAGTTTTAACGCAAGTGGACTATATGTCCTATTGTGACTTTAACTGCATCAGGGTTTTCCTAGCCTCATAAATTTAATATTCTGAGCCAATCCTGCTTTGAAGGCCATCTCCTGACTAGTAGTTACTCAAAGCCTTCACTAACTTCAGTTCCACGGGTACAATGAGAGAGGTATTTGGATTGCCTAAATAAGGAGTGCAAGAATAGTCTGCAGGAGACTATCGGTGGGCTTAAGTGCTTATGAGGGAGTTCATATTTTAATCACAGTATATGAAATAAATACAGTGAAGTCGTCTGGGTTTTTTTTTGTATTTTATCATTCTTTGCCACTGAATTTATATCAAGCTATATTTTAAAACTAATTGCCTTTTATTAAATACTCAAAAAAAATCTGAATGTATTTATTTTAGGCATTTGTTTTAAATCACCAGAGGAGCAGACTACTTAGAAATATTTACTATTATAGATCTAATTTTCAAAGTTACTGCATACCTGCCATTGATTTCAAGGGAGGCTGAAAGTCTGGCCAGTTCATGCCCAGGCAATTGCTTTGAACAGAAATTCAAGCTGATTCAAACCACCAGACACTGTTAAAAGAGTTTGGCGGATATCTACATTATGGCATTTTACACTTTGCAAGTCATATAAACTGAGGGAGGGAGTCAAATCCTGACTCCTTCACCAGGCACAGGATGGATATGCAGCAGAAGCAGTGCAGTTTTAAGGTATGGGGGTGGGTAGGGATTTAGGCAGCTGAAGCAGGGATCTGGACCACCTGAACATAATGGTACTCTGGTGAACAAGAAGAGTAGGTGATAAACCAATGGTGCAGTGGCAACAGGTACAGTTCATTTGTGAGAGAAGTCGTTGAGGCTGTACTACTGACTACAGAGCGACAATTCTACTCCTCCGGGGTCAATGACAGGGATTTTTTTTTCTCTCCACTGTCTGTGAGAATGTTCCCAGAATCATCTTGCACATACTTTGGTTGTTGCTGATACTAGAAATGTGAACGACTAGATGCTTTCCCCCTCTTGCTGCCTCTATCAGAACGAGGTGGGGGGGGAGGGGTAGAGGATGGAGTGTTTCAAAGTAGCAGCACCCCGGGCTCCATGCGGCAGTCGCTTTGAAACACTGCGTGCAGCTCAGGCCATCTGGGGACTCCCAGCTGGTCCCGGGCTCCCCATGGTGTTTCAAAGCGGTAGCACTGCATGGAATCCAGGTCAGCTGGCTGTCTCCCTGGATCTCCATCCATCTCTGTCTGTTTCACAATCGCAACCCTGACACACTGACATTAGCATCCCATGCTCTAGGCCTCTTCCGCAGGCTTCTGAGTGCTGGGCAGCAGAGGGCTGCCAGGTATCTAGTTTTTGACTGGAGAGTTAAAATCAGATTAATCAACTAATCGAATAATCAGTGGAATTTCCATCAACTATTCAATTAGTTGATAAGGGCACTTTTGCTTTGAAATGTAGCAAGAGCTCTCCTGGCCGTTGCTACGTTTCAAAGCGGAAGGGCCGTGAGGTATTTGAAATGTAGAAGAGCACCAGCAGGGGCTCTTGTGTATTTCAGATTGAAATGCTGCCTCTGGCCCTAGGCTCCATGTGACATTTCCGCTTTGAAGTGCACAAGAACCCTAGCAGGGACTCCTGTGCATTTCAAAGGTGGAATGCAGCCACTGTGCCCGTCCCCTTCCGGGGGGGGGGGGGGGGGGGGAAGAGCTACTAATCCACTAGTGTGTCAACTGTCGGATAAGCTTTTTCTTATGGATAGTCAGGGCTGGCTCTAGGCACCAGAAAAGCAAGCACATGCTTGGGGCAGCATATTTCCAGGGGCGGCATTCCATCCATACTTGTGTGTACTGTGCTGCCCCCGATCTGGGCCCCCCCCCCCATCTGCGGTAACCTCCACAGGTGGTGCTGCCTGAGTCTCTTTCCTATGGGGCCGGGACCTGCATGTGGCCCACTGCACGCGCTGAGTGGCTGGCCAGTGCCATGTGGTGCAGGGGCATCCGGAGGGGGTAGCTCTCCCCACCCGGTCACTGTGACTGGCCACAAGGGGCAACAGCATTTCCCTAGCTCTCGAAGGGGAAACTGAGACAGCAGGGAAGCGACTTGCCCCAGGCCGGCCAGTGGTAGGGCTGAGGACAGAACCCAGGTGTCCGGGCTCCAGCCTGGTGCTCTGGGTCATTCGGGGCCAGTCTTGATCTCAGGCCAAGCTCTTATCTCTGCGCTGGGCCAGATCCTGTGGCCTGGGCCAAGTGAGCAGAGCAGAACCCCCCCTCCCTCTGTGCCAGGGCCCTGGGCTGTTGGCCGGAGACACCCCTGCTCCGGGACGCTGCCAACAAAAAAGGGGAG